TGGTAGATGCTTTTATTACGACATAGCAAAGCATCTTTATAACTATGTGGCAAGCTGTACATTTTTCCAAATCATTCGGGTTTCCTTCTCCCTCGACTCCAATCGCTTCAACTACCAAACAAATTTTAAAAAAAAAAAACCGTCTCCTTTCAACCTTTTCTGCACCCATCTCAAAATTTTCACCAACTCCCAAATGCAGAATTATGTGTGATATGCTCTAAATTTTCAAAAATACGAATGCCTTAAAATTTGAAACGATTGCGGTAGAATACGCATCAGCATTATCCGCTTAGCTTAAGTATGTCCTAGTCCTTGATCTGCTTATGTAAGATAATGTTGAATATAATTGAGCTTTAAATGTTTACCTATAATCCTTGGCAGCACAAACGAATATGGAGGTACGGTAACAAATCGTAGACTCGGTTCACTATAGACCTCCAAGAATTTGCTATTACGATGTGCCCTTTCCACATAGTCCAATTCGGAATCAGTCATTGGTTCCACCACACATCCACCACTCCATTCACAAGGTTGCTCATCATCGATATGAGGCTCCTCGGCTTCATCGACATCGCTCAGATCGCATTCGACATCACAGTAAGGCGCTCCTGACGAAGCGCACGTGCCTCTTCCTGAATCCTCCTCACTGTGCTCCCCACATGGTTGCAGTATCGACGATGCCGAGTCGCTCCCAGCACAGGAGTGTAATGGGGATAGCCGCTCACGTTCCTCCTCCTCTTCCTCCTCTGCTACTTGTAAAGGTGGATTTTGTTGGGTCAAATAAGTAGCGGGTAGTTGGGTAATTGGGTGGCGGTAGAATGGTGCCTCGGGGTTGCGGAGAAGGCGTCGTACTGGTTTTGACCATGAATCCTCCACCGAGCACGACGGCATCGATATGTCTGGCAAGACAAATCGCGTGTCTACGCCTAATGCTGCCATATAACGGCTTGATGTCGACACATTCACTTCCACCATCTGCTCCTTCTCTCTTTATCAATTATAAAACTCTCCACAAAGCAATATAACAGCTCTTCAACAGTAATGAGGTAACAAACTTCAACAGTAACAACTTCTGCTTAATATGTGTAGAATCTAATATTCTCCTGCTCGCTACGCTACCGTCACGTAGACGGGAATTATTACGGTAACCTTGACTTGCTACTGATATATCCAGCGATTTTTGCACTCGCCGGCTAACCGTATGCTGCAGAACCTGAGTTGACCCTCCGTTTTGTTCGCCTTCGTAGTTATCAGCATTGGGCGAATGAGGCCGCGTAACAGACAACTGACACCTAAATGCTAATTCGCTTTTCCAAGACTGGGTTACCTCTCACACGCGGCGACGAGAGTAATAAAACTACATACAAAAAGGAATGATACTTTGAAAAGGGAGGAGCAGTCGACTA